CCCCGGGGCTACAAATTAAATGGACCTGGCAAGCTTTAGAGCTGGCCGTGCAGTAAATTGAAACACTATGGACAGGATTCTTAAGTAAACAGCTTATCTTTTGTCCATTTGCATTTCTGTGTGGTGACTTACTGTGTATATATACACCATGGTTCAGGAATCTCCTTTGGTGTCAGAAACTTTTATAGATTGCGCAACGTTTAATCTTACAACTATGAGGTAAACCCAGGACAGAAAACCAAGTCTCTCTGACACTAGAGGAAAATGTTCAAACATTTAAGGATTATATAGAACTTCTATATCGCCATTATATTTATTAATGCTGACACACCAGAATTTGTATATATCGTAAAGCACTTCATGAAATTATAAAATGCAATGTTGCACAACAGGCACTGAATAGAAGAATTTACCTACAGGTCGCCCAGGGATAGCAATGGTTTCTTGGGAACACTTACTCCTCGCTGAGGAAGTCGAAGGCTTTGGACTTATCGCCTGGGAGCTGCGACAAAGTGCTGCTTCTCTTCTTGACAGAAGGGGTCACGTGAGCGGTGGGGGCATTGTACTTCAGGTTAACAGGTGGCTCAGGCTTCTTTGCAGTGTTACTCGAGGAGCTGAAGAGTCGGCTGAAGCTAACATGGAAGAACGATGTGTGAGTCTGTGTGCGCGCGCGCGCGCACACACACACACACACACACACGACATGCACCGTCCACAAGGCAAGGAGTTAAAACCAAACAAATGGCACAAACGACACTGGAGTTGGACACTGCAGCCTTAGCAGTGACTCACGGCCAAGCCCAGGCTTTCGGGGAAAAGAAATGATTGTGTGGACAAGCTGACCCCCGTGTGGTGGAGTAAAATTTCTGAATATGGCTCTTCTACCCACATCTCTGTAACTCCCACCCAGTGATGGGGTAGGACTATACAAACAGGGAGTGTGTCACACTGATTGAGGGGATAGGTCCGCTTCTGTCACCGCCCCCTGGCTCTAAGGAAGCAGCAGCAGAGAGGAGAGGCCAAGGACCTGAAAGAGCACACTCCAAATCTCGGTCTGAAGCATCACGGACTGTGGCACAGAGACTCAGTGGAGCAGCGCCGGGACGATGGGGTACCTTCTCCTTAGCTGGGCCAAGACTAGGTGTGGGAGTTACATAATCTGTTGTCAACTTCAGATTTAAGAATGAATGGGGTGGAGTTCAGTCTGTCAATCAGGTCACAGCTTGATTTGGAGGCGCCAAGGAGAGGAATAGCTCGCTAGAGGCGGGACACATGCTCACTCCCTGCGAGACATTCCAGTTGACAAGCCACATGGAGCTACACTAGAGCCTGGAGCTGGAGGAGCCTGTGGAGACCCCAGCCAGCGCCGAGTTGCTTTCACCACCACTGGATCCACAAGACTTTCCACCCACTGGCCTGTGATCTTCCTGCATTCGGCGCCATTGCCTGTTTTTCGTGAATCTAAAGAAGAATTTATGGACTAGTATCGATATATGGGGTAATATCGGACTTATGGACTTGACCTGGGCTGGGCTGGGATGTTTTCTTAATGCACAATTACTCTTTGTATAAAGCGCTTTCCTACACACATTTAAGTGTCTATGGATTTATTTCTCTCGTCTACCCAGACTAACCCACAATAGAACTGTGGGGCAGAGAGACAGGTGAGAGCTCACATGGCTGAGAGGTTCAGAACCAGAGAGAGAGTAGGCTCTGGTTGAAGCGGCTCCAATGACCGTAACCTTCCTCTTTTCGGATCCTGACTTGTGGGAACCTGTTAACTTCCCTAATGACCTCCCCCCAACTGTGAGTATTGTCTGTGATTGGTGTGTGGCCTTTGCAACACACCATATAACCCAGCACAGATACAGAGTGGGTGGGAGGAATGGTTGGTGTCAGATCAGGCATTGGAGGATCAAGTGTGCAGGCATGTCTGACTCTTGCTTCATGGCAAGAAGGGAGCCAAAGGAGGGCAGATAGGGCCACCTACACTGCCCACCCTGATCTGTAGCTGGCAATCAGCGTAACAAAAGGAAGAAGCTCTGAGGATGGGAATTGGCTGAACTGAGGAAACAGGACCCTTTCCTCCACTCGCTCCCACGTGATGCAGTGTGAGAGGGGCTGTTTACTTGCGAAGGGGTGGCTGTGCGATCTGAATGGAAGCTCACCATGCTGGTTCTAAATTTAGTCACACAATAAAACAGTAGAACACACATTACCATTTCAGCACACATTTAGATATTTTCAGCTTAAGCATAATTTGAACTAGCTATTTTCACATCCATTAAAAAAATTAACACTTCCATTAAATAGCAGATTCACCAAAAAAGAGATGTTTTAAGCACAGTAAACAAATGGTACTTCTAACAGAACATAAAGCAAGTTCAACACACACACACACACACACACACACACACACACACACACACACCTCAAAGCCCACAAGCATTAAGTTACTCATCATTTTAGAAATTCCACTGTAATCACAAAACCAATAAATCAATTTAAATTGATTACTGATCCTGGTAATTATCAACTTTAGAAATAATCATGTCCCTTTATTTTATTATGTCAAAGAGCCAGTCAAACGCACAGCCAACATGATGCATCTTACAAGTGCATATTTCTGTCCTCCAGAGCACCCTTACCGAACTGGCACACTAGATAACAAGGAGCAAAGTTCAGTTTAGACATCTACCCCATACTATTTAAAAGAGAAAAATAAAGAGCATGGTTTTCTTCTTTAGAGTAAATTTCAACTCTAGTTTTCTTCTCTTAAACTGCTGTATGCTGTCATTTGTTTTCAATTTTTTAAAAATCCCTTTTGTTAAAAAAATCCCTTTTGTTAGCACTGTTGAGAATATATACAGCAGAAATAGGTACTATTCAAGTTTCTACATGTTCGTATTTTCTTTTAGATACTTACAACTGCCAAATGCTTGACCTTTTTTTTTCCTGCATGGCTGGATTTTCCCTTGATGCTCTACAGTAAAAAAAAAAAAGGAAGATGGAAGAGGGTTACCTGTGAGATGAGGGAGTTTCTCTCTGAGGAACAAGGAGCGCTCTATCTAAGAAGCTCACAGGAAGGCACCAGGGAGAGTCAACAACTGAATACAGTAAATTACACAAAATACCCTCTGCCCCCTCTACTAAGAGAGACAAGATTGCTATCTGGACTGAACAGCCAGCCTGCATGCCTAAATATCAATATTGAAATGTCAGTATGGAGAAGGGGGCCTTTCATTGTCAAACTACTGCTTGGTCAATTCTGTCCTTACCTAAGAAGGTCTCTATTACCTTATATTCCAGGCTTACACATGGCAGCAGGCCACTTTACTGTTCTGACGGGTCATTTTTCATAGGACTAAAACTTCCCATCACTGAAATGATGGCCAGGGAAGGCAAGGGGCTAGGTTGGATTCACAAATAATTCCAGACAATAAGGCACACTAACCTGATTAGTAACGTGGCCAACAGTGCACCGTCACTATCAGAGTCCCCTTTACACTTCTTTTCTTGAATTCCTTTTAATAAGCTAAAGCATCTTTTAATTCAATGAAAAAGCTAAGCTACTTTTTCTTCACATGTTGTCATGCAGGTGGCTGCTAGGATCCAAAATAGCAATGAAAAGGAGATCCTGTATACATGCCTTCAATCTATTTATTAGCTCCCACTGCCATCAAGCCAATTCTGACTCCTACAGGACAGCGTGGAACTGCCCCTCTGGGCTTCCGAGACCGCACCTCTTCTCTTTACAGGAGTAGACAGCCTGGTCCTTCTCCCATGGAGCAGCTGGTGGTTTCAAACTGCTGACCCTGTGGTTGGCAGCCCAATGTGTAACCACTACATTTCATTCTTTAGTCTATTAAATAATAGAGATAAGCATTTACCTTTCAGCCTTTGTCTTCTTATTCAATAAATTTTGATTGCTCATTTCCTTCCTTTTTAGTAGCTATAGCCATTATAATTTTAGCCAACAGTGTAAAGTGTGTTATACAAAAAGATATGGGTAAATCAGGTGGGCAACCACATTGCAAAGTTTTTGTGAGCCCTTCTTAAATGAAAATAAGGGGCACTGTTACTAAGGAGACTGACCATTAGATGGCAGTATTAGGTGAGATTTAAGATTCAACTGAGCATGGCAAAGGAAGGTGCATTTTGCATGGTCAGCAAAGAGAAAAAGATCAAGAGCTATGTATTTCAGAGTAAATATTATTTTCCTAGGTAGCTTATGAGGAACCCTGGTGGCATTGTGAGGAAATTAATTAACTGTTGGACTGCTAGTCTCAAGGTTGGAAGTTCAAACCCACTAGTCTCTCCATGGGAGAAAGATGAGGCTGTCTGATCCCATTAAAGATTTAGAGTCGGAATTCACTTAATGGCAGTGGGTGGGTTGGTTGGATGTAGCACATGAAAATTTTTTATTTCCTCAGCTTTATTTATTGCTAATGTCAAGCTCTACATTCTCTTGAAAAAAATACTCATCATTTCTAACTAATAAAAATGGCTTTTTAGAGATTGTGGAAACATTCTTCTCAAGAGTCCTTACTGGACCCTAAAAGAGCACCCATATTAATCACATTTTGTCTCTAGCTCTCAGTGTTACTTTAGAAAGTCTCTCCCAGTGAACAGAGCAAAACTCCAGCTCTCTCTCAATGAAGGACCATTGGAAGCTTGATGGCACAGCAGGGAAACACCAGAGCCGGTCTCACACATCTCATACCGGATCATCTCGGTCCATCGAACAGCCTCCTGAAGCTCCATCAGTCTCTCCTTATACTGGTTTCTCTCCATCAGAACTCGGGCCATTTCCACCCGAGTAAACCGCTTCCTCTGTGCCGTGGGAATATCGCTCTACAACAAAGAGGAGATGACCCATCATCCTAGGAGCCTACGTCCACTTTGGTTGGTGTTACTCTCAGACTCTAGCAGAATCTTTAAGGGGTTAAATATTCCTGAACTTAAAATCCAGCCTTACTCCATTCTCATATCACTTATTCTGCCTACAAACAAGTCTGGTGAAAATACTCATTTTCATTCACTTAAAGAAAATGGCTTCTATGGTAATAAAACCAGTAGGATTTTTAAAAATTAGTGGTGACTGAAAGGATTAAAGATAATTTAATTTCTGCAGATACAGACATTTTAACAGATTACAAAGGATAGAGTGGATGTTGAACTCAAACTCAAAAGTTCTCTATTCTACATAGATATAATATGCTCTTACAAGTTTCACATGGAAAGGCTGCTTTGATAACAATATTTTAAAATCTTGATTTTAAGTAATTCAAAAATTAATTATATTCCTAAAGAGATTCAGTTATCTAACAACCAATCCAAACATACACCGAAGGCCAATGTAAAGAGTAAAGTCTGGGGGAGGAGATGAGCCAGTCAGGGTGCGATGTAGCAATAATGAAAAATACAATTTTCCTCTAGTTCCTAAATGCTTCCTCCCTGCCCCCACTATCAAGATCCCAATTCGACCTTGCAAGTCTGGCTAGACCAGAGGATGTACACTGGTACAGATAGGAACTAGAAACACAGGGAATCCAGGGCAGATGATCCCTACAGGACCAGTGGTGTGAGTGGCGATACTGGAAGGGTAGAAGGAAGGTGGGTTGGAAAGGAGGAACCAATTACAAGGATCTACATGTGACCCCCTCCCTGGGGGATGGACAACAGAAAAGTGGATGAAGGGAGATGTCCAACAGGGCAAGATATGACAAAATAATAATTTATAAATTATCAAGGGTTCATGAGGGAGAGGGGTGCGGGAGGAAGGGAAAAATGAGGAGCTGATGCCAGGGGCTTAGGTGGAGAGCAAATGTTTTGAGAATGATGAGGGCAATGAGTGTAAAAATGTGCTTTACACAATTGATGTATGCATGGATTGTGATAAGAGTTGTATGAGCCCCTAACAAAACAATTAATAAAAAAAAGAGTAAAGTCACTGGCTAGCTATCAAAGTACCAACTAAAACATCAACGGGAATAAAATGAGTGTCCCCCAGAATTCTATGCAGGATAAGAAGGGATCTGTGTATAGAGTACGGCCAAGGTCATGCTCAACCCAACTTCCCTCCTCTGATTCGAAACCCTGTTCTGAAAGGAAGCGAAGCTTAACTGCAAAGCTTTTGAACATCTGGGGCCAAAGGCGCAGAGCTTGGGGCAGGACAACAGAGTAACCTTCCTCTACACTCCTGTCATGGGCCTGTCAAACCCACGGAGCCCCACCACGAGAGGTACGCAACCATTATTGGAGAAATAATGCTGTCAGAGAAAAACTCTGTTCCTTCTATGCACCAGGAAACCCACACAGCATAGTTTGTGGTAGTAAAAAACCAAAAATAAGATATATAAATTATAGTACACTAATAGAATGAGGCCATAAAGATAAATGAACTACGGAAATGTACTGCAGACGAGTCTCAAAATACATTAGTGAAACCAAAACCAGCAACAAAACAAAGGAAAACCTCACGGTAGTAGTACACGGTATACCACAGGCATACTGTGTGATCCATCGGTGCTCTACTGCACCGACTGGCTCATCCCTTCCCTGCGACCCCTCTCTGGGGGATGTTTCATTGTCTGTAGATGGGCTTTGGGTCTCCGCTCCAACTCCCTCATTCCCACCAAAGTGGACCCAGGAACAGGAATGGGAAGAGCGATACCAAGAGGGTAGGGGAGGGGGGGAGAGGGAGAGAGGAGCTGATCCCATGGGCTCAACAGGAAGTCAATGTCTAGAAAAGAACAATGGCAATTAATGTACAAATATGTCTGATACAACTGATGTATGGATTGTAACAAGAATTGTAAGAGTCCCCAATAAAATGATCTTTAAAAAAACAACACCCAAGGAAAACCTCAATTGAAAATAATGCAGAAAGTATTAAAAACAGAAACAACTTTAAAATGGGTCAAAAAGAAGATCAAATGTTAAGGTGTTAACTTTTAACTTCATTATATCTACCATAATTGACTTCACGATGCTCTCTGTCTAATTGGCAAGGTTATTCACATCCCTGGACTATTCTCAATGGACTTGACTGAGGCTTCATCCACATGGGGACCCTGAACATGGATCTGGGGCTCCCACTGTCACCTACAGCACTTCTGTAAACTGGGTGGTCACAATTAAAGCTCTGAGATCATTCCTTTCTCCAGATGTGGATTTCACTATTTACTATCCTTGGATCACACAGGCTGGCGTGCTTTTTCCATATGGACTTAGTTGATGAATCACTTAAATGGCTGCTTGTTTGAAGACAAGCTTTTACAACTATAGATGCTATTTTTTCTGATAGCCAGGTACCATTTTGCTATAGTACCCTTATCTTCTGTAATCTCTTCATGAGGATGAGTCCTGAGTAGGGTGAAGCCATAAGAATTAATAGTTCTTGGGTTAGGGCTGCGATTAAGTGCAAGCTCAAAATCTAATCATATACGTATGGTTTAAAATCTAGTCATATATTTATGGTTCGCTTTAGAGATATCATTATGATTTTATAATAGAGAGCATTATAAATGATCCCTATGGGGCATAAGGTAATTCTATTGATAGTATCATTAATTTGGCCAATGGTAAAGAATTTAAAACACTGTGGCGAAAAGGAAATTATATACATACAGGCTGGCTTTACAGATTGCAACACAGCAACTGTTCATTCATGCAGATTAAAAGTTCAAATGACTAGACACTACTGACATGAATGAAGAGTTGGAGATAGGGCAAAACTTTCAATGACATTCACTCACCAAGGCAGAATCATGCTGCCAACTAGCAAATGCCATAAAAAAGCACAGAGAGCATAAAAACAATAAATACATGGCAATCCTGGGCCACCATTTACTGGGCACACTTTGTTTTGTGTAATTTCCTGTATATGAAATCCAGGAGAGGTGAATGTACAGGGACAGCAACTGGATTAATTACCTAAGAAGCCTGGCAGGGGACATTGGGAGGTGGGGGGCAGGGGGGGGAATAGGGAGCTAAAAACAATGAGTATGAGAAAGAAGAAAATGCTCTGAAATTGATAGTGGTGATGACTGTACAACTCTTCTTAATATGGTTGAACTAATGTATAATGTGTACAACATATGCCAATAAAACTATTTTAAAAACAACACTCTCTCAGGGGGACGAACAATGGAAAAGCGGGTGGGGGTGATGGAGGATGATGTAAGATATGAAAATAATAATCTATAACTTATAAAGGGTTTGTGAGGGAGGGCGGGCAGGGGAGGGAGGGGGAAGAAATGGGGAACAGATATCAGGGGCTCAAGTGGAAAGGGAATGCTTTGAAAATGATGGCGGCATATGTGCAAATGTGCTTGACACACTGGAGGAATGTATGGATTGTGATAAGAGATGTGTAAGAGCCCCCAATAAAAAGTATTTAAAAACAAACAAACTGCTCTTAAGGGCTCAAGTAGAAAGGAAATGTTTTGAGAATGATGATGGTAACAAATGTACAAATGCATTTGACACAATGGATGAATGTATGGATTGTGATAAGAGCTGTGTGAGCCCCCAATAAAAGGATTTAAAAACAACATAATATTAAATGAAGGAGAAAGTCTCCAAGTCTAAATAGAGCTTACTCACTTGAAACTATACATTGTAGGGATATATACATGATATAATACAATTTTTTTTTTAAAGAGAATGATGAAATATGACAAGGCCTTTCTCTGTAAGGGAGAAGCAAAGCTTGGTAGTGTTCTAGGGCTCAAGTCAAGAAGTAGATCCACAGATGTTGATTTATCATGTTTTCAAACTTATGTGCATGACAAATATTTTAGTATGTACCAAGTACTAACTACAACAGCAGACAAGAAATCCAAGGGACATATGAAAATAATAACCTATTGTATGGCCGGATCAATACCAGGCTGGCTTCTAGCAGCAAGTGACCTTGAGTCTCCCACACCCATGCCTAGCTGACCAGAGCTAGCTGAAACAACTAGCAGCAAGTGGCCTTGAATCTCCCACACACACCTGCGGAGCTGACCAGAGCTGGCTAATGGCCCGCTTTGTTCTCGACCCGCCGCTCTGCAACCGGCACCGGCATGGCCCGCTTGGGTCAGTGCCCACTTTCCTCTCGACCCTCCACTCTGCACCCAGTACAGCCTGTTTGGCTCAGTGCCCGCTTTGTTCTTGCCCACCACTCTGCACCCGGCACGAATACACCCGGAACCAGGAAGACACATTCCTGTCCATATAAGCAGCAGCCCTGTAGCCTGCAATGCAATGCGACTCCCCCAGCCTGGACATTGTGGACTGTGGGACTTCGCCCAGGCTGGGGTTTTTTCTCCCTAATAAAGCCTGTTTGTTCTAATTCGACTGATTTGATCTCTGGTGCCTCTCGACTACCTTACACCTATAACTCATCAAGGGTTTGTGAGGGAGGATGGGCGGGGGAGGGAGAGGGAGAGGGAAGAAATGGGGAGCTGATATCAGGGGCTCAAGTGGGAAGAGAACGCTTTGAAAATGATGATGGCGGCATATGTGCAAATGTGCTTGACACACTGGGTGAATGTACGGATTGTGATAAGATGTAAGAGTCTCCAATAAAAGTATTAAAAACAACAACAAAAAAACAAACAAACCAAGAAATCCAAGGGACACCAAATGATTATTCTGTTCGAAACACCTGCAGAATCAGGTTGACCTGCAACTCGTGGTGCATGAAGGAAGATTTAGGTAACAGTATTACTAGTAGGCTAAAAATATAAGCATGGAAGTCTTAGTGTTCTTCTGTATTTATGATGGGGATAACCATAGAGGCTAACTGAAGTCCTAGGTGTTATACTTTTATGCTAGTACTATAAAGCATTCCTACTACATTTTCAAAATTCTTAAAACTTAAAACAAAGAGCCTCAACATCCAGTTTGGTCCATGAGCATGAACATGTAGACACGGGCCACTGATTATAAACATTCTGTTAATGCAACAGCGGATTTTCCCAGTGAAGGCAACGAAAAAAGCAGCAAACTGCAAACCTACGTCGTCCTCGTCTTTTGCTTTTTGCCTTGCATCTTCAGCTTCCGCACGAGCTCTAGTGAGGGGAAAAGAAACATGTTATTTGAATTGGCTTCATCTTTTTCAAAGACTATAAGAGTAAGCAATTCATCAATTTTAATGATCACTAATGGATTATTTCTTTTCTTTTTCTAAAACAGAGCACTTAGCTGCCCTCATCCAGGGGGATTGCATCATAGCATTATTTTCAGAAAAAGCCAAGGAAACTAATCTGTGTTTCTAATTTCCTTTTATCAAAACGAAGGTGTCTGAACAGTTCTCGCATCATGGCAGACACAAGCGGCAATATTTGGATAACACTGTTCACGAGGGGCTTATTCACAGCAAAGGCAAGTGGTGGGTGGTACTCCACCCTACTCCATGAAATGTTTGGCCCTTCCTAGCTTGGGAAGGCCGGAGACAGCGCTCTCAGCACTGCACCTGGTGCCTTGCTGGGGCTCCTGCAGAGACGTCACTTGAGAACATGGTCAGCACTTACTTCCTAAGCTCTTCCTCCAGCTCCCTGTTCTTCTCCTCCAGCTTCAGTTTGGCTTGCTTCACCGCCTCCAGTTCCCCTTGCAGCACGTCTTTCTCACAGGTCAGTTCATCTACCTTTGCTATCAAATCATTCTTCACCACATTCAAAGCATTTCTAAGAAACACAGATTTCACAAGTGCATCATTACAAATAAATATTTTTTACATCTCTCAGCCTATTGTCTTGCAGGACAGTCATAGAGCTGAATAACTGAATGGCTGAAGGCATTTTACTTGTTGCTTTCTTGTTAAAAACGGAAAGAACACAAAGCAATTTTTTGTACTCACCCATTATCAAACTAAGCATAAATAGATAAAAGAAGAAGAAATGAATAAAACAAGGCAGGCCACTAACTAATCGAGTCAGAATTAAGTAAGATTAAAAGATAAACATTTAAAAAATAGCATTCATAAGGCTATGCTAACAAATTCTGAAAATATATTGCACAATCAATAAGGTAAAATCAATCCTAAGTTGTCTTTATTAATGAATGAAGGAAAAACAAAACAAAACAAAAAGTAAGCTCAAGCTCTTTTAGGGGTAGCCTGTTCTGAAATAAAAGAACCCCAGGAAAGAGGCAGGAAATGGACCAATCCCAGAAAAGGCAGCAGGAAGCCGTGGGACTGGCGCTGAAGACTGAGAAAGGTGTGACTTTGGCAGAGTGGAAAGGAGACACATACAGGAGATTCTGCACAGACTGTCAAAAATGATGGTGAAAGGCAGGTCCCATATCACTTATATGCCTGAGCGTGTGTGTGTGTGCACGTGTGTACACGGTCAGGGAAATGAAATGGGTCAAGGCTTAGGAGACTGCAAGGAGTACTACGTTACATGGAAAGCATCCCTGACTTGGTGGAAGGGACATCTGGTATGGTTCCTTGTTATAACTCTGGACATACTTACTTGGTTTCCAACAACTGCGTATTTTCTAATATAAGATTCTCAACCTCACGACCCATTCCTGGAAAAAGAAAGGGAGACTTGGAATACAAATTTATTTTTTAAATGACATGTTTATGAAATAAAAAGTTGTAGTCACAAATTTATAATTTTGATCTATCCTAAAGTAATCTTATTTTTGCCTACAGGTATATTTGATATATCTATGTATATGGATCATAACACTTGAAATAATTATCCAACACAAAACAAAGCTAACGATTTTGCTGGCCTATTCTTTATAATTGCTAGTATATGCTTTGTTTTCAGCAGTAATATTTTTTTTAAATATCCAAAATTTTCTGACAAGCATTCGAATACATAGTTTTATTTAGAGGGGAAAATGCGTTACTGTGAGTCAGAATTTTTCAAATCATAGCTGATAAGATAGGTTTCTCTCTAAAAGTTAGGCCTTATGAACAGAAAGCAGACAGCATAAAGGAGCCAAGCCAGCCAGAAGCCCAGTGCAGAAGGAACCTTACCAAAGAAACTATGGTCTTAAAGCCCATGCATTCATTCCATGTAAAGCAACAACAAAGAACAAGAAATGCTTCGTGTAAGAAACAGCATGAAAATAGATTATTAAGCTGTAAACTTTTTGTATGAAAAACAGCTGGAATCACAATGTTTGGATTTTAATGCAGAACGATGTACAAATAAAGAAATGGCAATTTCCTTCATTCATGGGGATGGTCTATGGTATTTATATCTAAAGGGAAAAAACCCTGCTTTACCAATTCTTGCTGACAATAAAATTGTACATTATAATTAGAATGAACATCACCTGTCAGCAAGCCATTATTCCTTCAAAGTGTCACCTACCACATGACAGTGTTCAAGCCTCATCGTAGAGGCTGCCTTACACCCTGTGAGCACTGTGCAGGGGACATGTACAGCAGGCACTCAGTGTAAGATGCAAGACAGTGACCTCTGGGGATAAGGAAGCAATTTAACTTGAAGTTACAAGATAACTGAAGAAATTAAATAACATACTTATTTACCCCAAATAGTTTAAAGAAATTCCACTACTACCCACTTCTCCTGAAGAGTTAAGAACTAATGTTAGAATGGAAGATATATGTAGAACATTCCTTTTCCAAACAGAAAGGAAATAGTAAAAAAACAAAACTAAGTAAGAAAAAAATTTAAATGTCCCTTTATCAGAAAACAAAACAAAACAAAACCACATAACTTAATGACTATTTTGAAAAAAAAAAAAAAAACAATTTTAGGGGAAAATTGATAAAAATTCTATGTTCTCATATGGACCCATATTATATCTATAATAATAGTTTTCTGAACATCCTCAAAGATCTGGGTATTTCTACCATAGGGAACTTAGTATCAAAAATAGTACCTTATTTCATTGTTTATAGACAAACTGAAAATAAAAGCAAACTGAAAAAAGTCTCTAACTTCTGACTCCAAGATGAATTTTGGTAAGGTATCTCCAAATACTTGCTATAAACATGAACATTAACTTCATAATAAAATTATAGAGATAAGGGAAATAGGGCTGAAACTGGTTACAAAAATTTTTATTTAGTAATTGTTGACTAGTGATTCTCAAGCACATAATAGAGAAACAAGCGTAAAAACTGAAAATATATGCAGAATATATTTATATATATGCACACACACACACACACAAAATTGAGCAGAAAAACATAAGAAAAAGCATCAAAAGAAAAGGGCAGGCAAGACACCTAGCTTAAAAGCAGTAATATGAAAGTATTTAAGAGCATACACACCAGAATATTCCCCTGGGTAAGCAGCCCAAGAGAAAAATGAATGAGAACCTTAATTAGATTGTTTTCAAAAAGCAAGGACTAAACTCAATTATTTTTAAATGAGAGAGGAGACAAAGAAGTTGAAAAGATGTAGAGGAAACAATTAACTAAAAACAATAAAGTGTAAATATTATAAATTTTTAAAAAGAATTATGTACTCTATGGGAAACATAGCCTTAAGTGTGTAGTTTCTAAAGCTTACATTTACACATTCCCAATGAGGAATTATTTTAAAATCTAGGCCACATATTTAATACATGAACACAAGGACTGTGAACATAAATAAATTTTGAAAAGCATCAATTCATTATCAGAAAAACATAATTGGAAGTTAATTTGGGGGGGGAACAAGCGTAAAACTTAGGTCTAATACATTTGAAAACGAAAGCTAGCAAACAAACAACGCTTGACAGTTTTAAAAACTCACAGAAACGTCAGTTGGCTCTTTAGCAGTGATTCTCAACATGTAGCTCTACAAGTGGGCTCGAGTTAGCCACAGACCAGCGGTTCTCAACCTGTGGGTCGCGACCCCTTTGGGAGTCGAACGACCCTTTCACAGGGGTCGTCCAATTCATAAGAGTAGCTACATTCCAGTTATGAAGTAGCAACAAAAATAAGTTTATGGTTGGAGGTGTCACCACCACATGAGGAACTGTATTAATGGGTGGCGGCATTAGGAAGGTTGAGAACCACTGCCATAGACTTAAGGTAGTCCTCGAAGGTTGTAGGCACAATGTTAACTAGTTCCACATGAGCATTTCCCCAAAGTTCATTGTTCTCTTAAATATTCTCCTGCAAAGGGTTTTTTAACCCATGAAAGGTAAGGAATCAGATTTAGAGGTAAAGCCAAACTATTAGAACTATTTAGCAGCCTATTCACGTAGGGACTGTACTACGTGCTCAAGATTCAACAGTGAGCACAATAAACCTGGCTGTCTTGGTCACAATGAGCTTAGAGTCCACCCAGTGAGACAGACTTATAAACAATTAGAACAGGTATGGAAGGTGGCATAATGTATAAATGCAATTCCAAAGGAATACATTTCAGGGGCAAATAGGCTGTACTTAGGAAGTTCAAGGTAGAATTCTGGGCCAGCATGTATTTAAGGGGTGACAAGAACAATAAATGGATAGTTTGGAGGAGGCACAAAAAAGCCTCAATGATTGGTTGCAGGGAAATAGGAGAGGTCTTGGAAATGAGTGGGTGGGCAGGTCCGCCACCCACTGAGATAGTAGATACTGGTCCAAGGGCAGCCTCGGGGGACAGAACAAGAAAGATGATGACCTCAGCTTTAAGCAAGTCATGTGCCCAGATTTTTTGCTTGCCCCCCCCACCACCACCAATTGCCTGTGAGTCCATTCTGACACAGAGCAACTGCACATGCTTGTGGCAGAACAGAAGCGTGCTCCCTGCGTTTTTTGAGATTGTGACCTTTCAGAAATAAGTTCTCAGGCCTTTTATCAGAAGGACCTCTGGGTGGGTTTGAAAGGCCAATCATTACGTTAATCACTTATACTGCCCAAGGATTCTTGTAATACTTTAGAAGGCGTCTTAGAAGTGTGTCTAGTGGACAGTGTGGAAAGAATAGTCTGCGGTGCTGGAAAAGACCCAGGATAGTCATCAGCCAAGGAGGCTAAGAATCAATGAGAGCAACTGAGATTCCCTAAACAAGGAAAGGGGCCAAGGTCAGGAGGCGAGGAACACAGCATCTAAAGGTAGACAGAGGAAGAGGAGCTTGCCAAGACAATGGAAAGAACCAAGAGGAGGGAACAGGAACAGGTACAGGTAAGTCTGACATCACAGACCCTTGGCAAAGATAGTTCTATCACAAACTAGGAGGCTGTTGCTAACAGCACGAGTAACTTCTGGAGTGGTGAGCTGAGGGTAGAATACTAGACTGTAGTGGCTGAGGATTAGGTGGGGCTCGGGCAATTCTGCCAGTTAAAGTAGCCACACTTTCAAGAAGTCTATTTTACTCACTGTAAGCACCTCATATTCAGCCTAGCACTTTAAAAGACACCTCAGCTACCTTGTTACATAAAAGGATAACTAGAAATGGAGCGTGAGAGCTAAGAGTAGCAATAAGTAGAAGAAGATACAGTGCAAGAAAAGGGTGATAAATGGAGAAGACCTGAACCTGATTAAATGACCATGGGAATCAGTTAGTAAAGACACTGAAAATGAGAAGAGAGAGGACAGTCCAGAGGCTGTGTGAATCTCTGACTTCCTACTTCTGGAATGTGACTGAGCAAAGTGCATGGAGAACGCGTCATTCACAATACCTCCAAGGAACAGAGGAAAATCAAGGAAAAGAACAAACTGTTGGCGCTGTCTCTTTCAAGTTATTAAAATCAGGGGGGAAATCTTAAGTACTGAGCCTTTTTAGCTATTGGCTTAAAAAAATTTATATCCTACGAGAGTTTGGTAATAGATAGCAACAAGAAAACAGGAATCATAGAAATGGACTGTGTATTACTGACCAACCCGAGGTCAATTACTTTGGGGAGCAATTTGTAAACTTAACTACAAGTCCAAGCAGTGAACATCACTCTCAGTTACCAACACCCAACTGTACGGAAGAGAAGCCCAGGTACGAATAAGGGCTTTGGAAGCTTCATTTACCATTTTTGACAGACAGAAAAGTATTCATGTAGACAGTAAGCCACTAAATTTGAGGTAGTATATTAAAATCTTCTAATGTGGAACATTCTAGAGATAAATATACCAATAGCTATACAATAAAAAGGGCAGCGGTTCAGAATGTGTTACTGTTATTAGATGTCATCGATTCAGCTCCAACCCACAGTGACCCTATGCACAAGACGGAAGCACTGCGTGGTCCTGAGCCGTCCTCGCCGTCGCTCTTCCATTCGTTAGCCATCCAGTGTCTAACGATGTCTGGAAGCTATTCATAAGGATTTCAATGGCTTAGATATAGTTCATTTTTTATCTCCAAATTGGAAAAGAAACCAAAATATTAGGATTCTGTTTTCAATCTATTATGTTTAATTTTCTCACTTGAAGGATATACATTTTTAGAAGATGTTTTATTTAAAAGAATTTAGTTATTTCAAAGTACTCTATGGTTTCCTAACTCTAAGAAAATAAAGAAAGGTCAAACACTTCAAAAAGTACAACCTTCCATACTGGATTATGTAGTAGTAAAGTATACAAATACATTTAAAGTACTTCCCTCTGATGTACTTGAAGGACATCGCATGTAGGAATTTGGGGGGGACTGCTGATAGTTCTTTATGCATTTGTCAAAATTCACAAAACTGGACATAAAAAAGTAAATTTTCTCTATAAAATTTTGAAATAATTAAAAACATTTTTTTCATTTCTTTTTTTTAACACACGCTCCTCAGTTTTGCTGGGTTCTTCTCTTAGTTGGAGGTCAGTGTCTTAAACCAATTAAATATTTCAAGGAGCTTAAAAAGTATAATCTGATGTTAACTAAAATTATTGATTTATTGATAGGGATTCATATATCTACTAAATCATTCCACGGTTCAATCACATTCAGCAGAACTGTACATTTGCTACCACAAATCAGTTTCCAAACATTCTTTCTCTATTTGGTCCCCTGACCTTGTCACCCCTTCCCCCCGCCCAGAAGTGTAAAATTAAATGTAAAACTGGAACATTCCTTAAGAATTCATCTTTTCTAGCCCTCCTTTGGGAAATGTACGGCATTCCATTTCTTCCAATGTTTTATTTAGACTTCAATGGTGGTAGTCTCTTTACTTCTGAACAATGAATATTGTGAGCTCTGCCTGGACAAAACCATGTTCCCTTCAAAAAGTAGTTCTCAGTGTCAAGGGCATAATTAGTCATCAATAAATTAGCATACATTAATGTAAGAAAGTCCTTACAGTCCTAAACATTGACAGGCCTTTTGAGAACACCATAGTCCAGATTAAAATTACACCGATATAAAATTTGTTTTACAGAGCCGTATCTGTAAACCTATTCCAAAGATATGCATTCTAATTTCTATAAGGGTTTTGATCTTTGTAAACTCTTAAAAGTGAAGCAAAAACAGGTGTATCAGAGCTCATTCACAGAGTTGGAATCCTGTAATTCACCTCAAAGGAGCTTCAGAAAGCAGCCAGATCAGGAGCTGGCCAACTTGGTCTGGCCAGGGCTAGATCATCAATATTTTAAGCTTTGCAGGCCATGTGAGCTCTTCTGCAAACTACTCAACTATGTCAGACATGGACAGAGAGCAAACGGGCACGGCTATATTCCAACAAACCTTTATTTACACAAACAGGTGGTATGTCAGTTTGGCATATGGCTGGAGAGAGTCCAGTTCCTTCACAAAAACTAAGACCCAGAAAGATGAAGCTATTTGGCAAAAGTCACCAGACAAATACTGGAAGAGCTGCATGCAGTTTTCTTCCAAATCATATGTTCTTCAACTATAGACACGTGAAAATGGTTACGTTTCCCAAAAGATCTAAAACATAATGCTCTGTAAAAGCTCAGAAAAATAAAGTATTATGATTTCTTATTTAATTAAGGTCAACAGTTTTGACTGAATTCGCTTATACAAGGCGTGTACACACGCACACAAACTCTCTCTCTCTTCCCCTGCAGAGCACTGTGCCCCTTACGTGGACTCGACACGCACATTTAAATGCAGGTTTAGGTTACTGATATGTGAAGATGCTTTCACTCTAAACTTTTCAGGACCTCAGTACGCAATAATCCTGTACTACTGAGCAGGTTAGGACCACTTCAAACGAAGTTTCAATTAAATCATTATTTAAAATGTATCTTTTAAAAACCGTGGCATAGTTCATCAGAGATATCATACCTAGTAAGTCTGCTCCTTCATCCACATCTCCAATGAGGCCTGAGCCAGCTGAAGACAGTTCTTCAAAGAGAGACTCTGTATTGCGATCAAAAGCTTTGTTCTCTATGCCTTTGGTAGGAGTGCTAAATGACAAAAACAGTAAAACCAAATCAACAAATTACAGACTTAATTTCTGAGAGTAAAACAAATAGCTAAGCTGAGTTACAGGAGATTTTTACATGGTACATTCCATTTGATATAAAATGCAATGGAATAATATGTACTTCTCAAAGGTCCCTAAGAAGCCCCACTGAAGCCCACAGAGGGACGACTAAGGCGACGGCCGAGGCTGCAGTGCGAAAGCTCCGCCAGCACAGATGAATGGCGTCAGACAGAGCGGCTCTGTACCAGGCAGCGTCTAAGCGCTGCACGTGACTTGTCTACCTTAATCCTCACAACTACAGTCCTTCCTGTTTCCAACAACTCTAGTAGTTGTGGAGATAAGAAAGCAATCCACGGAAAGCAGATTAGCAGCTGCCATTATTCTCTCCGTTTTTCAGATGAGGACACGAGTGAGGTGAAGGTTTTGCTGGGATCATTAGGTAAAAAGGGCAGGATTCAAATCCACAAAGTTTGGCTCCAGGACTCATGACCCTAGTTTTTCAGTTATATGTTGCCTGGATCCCTGGTGGTCCTGTGGATTAGGTATTGGGCTGTTAACCAAAGATTGGTGGTTCATATCCACCAGCTGTTCCACAGGAGAAAGATGAGGCTGACGGCTCCTCTTATAAAGATTTATAGTCTTGTACAAGGTCACCGAGTCTGAAACTTCTGGATAGCAATGAGCTTGGGGTACAGGTTGGCAGGGCCCATTCTTTTTACAGGGCAATTTGGCAGTGCCTATTGAAATTTAAAACCCAAATATTCACTGGCCCAAGCATTTCTTGTGAAAACTGTTCTGCAAAATCCCAATCATAAAAAAAAAAAGCAAGTCTGTAAAAGGATAGTGCGAGCAACATTTCTAGAACAAAGCTGAAATGACTTAAGAGGTTATTAGTAAGGGAAAATTAAAGATATTATGACTACATCCACAATTTAAAATTTAAGCTTTGTAGTTAAAAGTGGTAGGATCTTATAAACAAACTTACAATTTTTTAAAAGTTGCAAAACAGTACATAAAATATGAGCCCTTCACCTTCCTGACATGGTTGCTGAAGACAAATGGGTGCATAAGCAAGTGTGGTGAAGGAAGCTGATGGTGGTCGGCTATTAGAAGATGTAGTGCCTAGAGTAGGCATCCTCAAACTGCGGGCCCACCGAGGACATTTATCCGGCCTGCCGGATGTTTTTGCCCCGTTTGTTTTTTTTACTTCAAAATGAGATATGTGCAGTGTGCATAGGAATTTGTTCATAGTTCTTTTTAAAACTATAGTCCGGCCCTCCAACAGGTCTGAGGGACAGTGAATTGGCCCCCCGTTTAAAAAGTTTGAGGAACCTTGGTCTGGAGTCTCGAAAGGCTCGAGTTAAATAAATGGCATGTAGCAGAGAAGCAACAAGTCCACATCGAAGAAGCACACCAGCCTGTGTGATCGTGAGGTGTAAACCGGACCAGGTGTTAAGCATCAGAAGACCCTAAACAAACAATCCTATCAGGGTGCAGCACAGCACCAACAACACACACACCATCCCTCTAGTTCTTCAATGCTCCCCCCACTGCCATGACCCCAGTCCTACCTTACAAATCTGGCTAGACTGGAGCACGTACACTGATACAATAAATGCTCTCGACACACAGAATCGAGGACAGATAAACCCCTCAGAAACAATAATAGGAGTAGCGATACCATGAGGGTAGGAGAAGGTAGGGGGAGAAAGGGAGAACCAATCGCAATGATCAATGTACCCCCCCACCCCACCCACAGGGGGATGAACAGAAACATGGGTAAAGGGAGACAGCGGATGGTGTAAGATATGAAAATAATAAAAATTTACAATTTACGAAGAAGTCATGAGGGTAGGGGAGGGAGGGGAAAAAGAGGAGCTGATACCAAGGGCTCAAGTAGAAAGCAAATGTTTTGAAAATGATGATGACAACATATGTACAAATATGCTTGATACAATTGATGTATGGATTGTGATAAGAGTTGTACAAGCCCCCAATAAAATGATAAAAAAAGTAACCATCCAAGTAAAGGAAAATAACTGCTATTTAGAAATGAGGTTGATCGGTAAGCTTGAAGTTATCAGTTAGAAAACAGAATTAAGATCTAAGAGAGAGAAAACAGGGCAGAAAGAAATTTTGAAGATTAGATCAAAAGGTTCAATATCATCCTAAGAAGTAGCTCCGAAAGAGAGCAAGAAACAAAAAATGAGAAGAAATACGTAAGTTTTCTAAGAACTGGGATGTGGGAATGTCCGGCTGAAATGACTGACTTCTGTACAAGATGCAACAAATGAAAGGGCTCTAACCCAAACAACCCCGCCACGTGTCACATCGCCGCAGGCCTTCTGAGAGCACACGCCACCGAGGCGAGAACCCCAAGGCACCACACTGAGCTCACTGCGACAGTGACACTGCGGCTTCCCAAGTCCCACGTACACCACTTTCCAGCTTAGAATTCTGTACACAGCCGACCAACCATGTCTTCTACTAGCGTTTCTCACGTCCAAGTTCTCAAAACATTTACTTCCTATGCCCCTTTACCCAGAACATTAGTCACAAATATGTTCTGCGAAAGTAAAAGCAAAAAAAAAGGGTCAAGCAGTAGGATGAGATGAGATCCAGCATCCACACGTAACACCCGTTTGGAATGGGGCCTGGGGAGAGAAGGCCCCAGGAGCGAGAGCTCTAGGAAAAGGATATTTTTAAGAAAAAATTATTTTATTGAGGGATCTTATAGGTTTTTTTTTTTAAGTACTTTTATTGGGGGCTCTTACATCTCTTATCATAATCCATACATTCATCCAGTGTGTCAAGGACATTTGCACACATGCCGCCATCATCATTTTCAAAGCATTCTCTTCCCACTTGAGCCCCTCATTTCATCAGTTACCCATTTCTACCCCTCCCTCGCCCGCCCGCCCGCCCTCACGAACCCTTGATAAGTTATAGATTATTATTTTCATATCTCACATTGTCCTTCGCCCCTCGCCCACTTTTCCATTATTCATCCCTTTGGTAGGGGGTTCTAGGTTGATCCTTGTGATTGATTTCCCTTCTCCCCTCGCCCTCCACTAATCCTCCTGGTATCCTCTACTCTCCTTGTTGGCCCTGAGGGGTTTATCTATCCTAGATTCCCTGTGTGGCAGGCTCTATCTGTAGGAGTGTGCGTGCTCTGGTCTAATCCAATTTGTACGGTAGAACTGAGGTCATGATAGAACTAGAGGAAAGTTGTGTTTCATCAGTGCTATACTGCACCCTGACTGGCTCATCTCTTCCCTGTGACCCCTCTGTGAGGGGATGTCCAATTGTCTACAGATGGGCATTGGGTCTCCAGTCCACTACCACCCTCCACACCCCACTCCCCAAGTCATATTGGGTATGATTTTGTTCTGGGTCTTAGATGCTGGATACCTGATCCCATCAACACCTCATGATCACACAGGCTGGTGTGTTTCTTCCATGTGGGCTTTGTTGCTTCTGAGCTAAATGGTTGCTTGTTTTTCTTCAAGCCTTTAAGACCCCAGAAGCTGTATCTTGGTATCAGTTCCTCTTTTTTGAAAAGGATAGGTTTTATGTTTGGCCATACCTGTAGAGAATCTGTCAACTGAGTTACTAACAGGCTCGTAGGGACTTAAACAAAACAAAATAAACAAAGCCCCAAGGCTTTATTAATTTTAGTAAGACGAAAAGCTGTAAAAAGAAAGAAAATACAATCATAGTATAGTCTGTGACTTATCTATGATTAATATGTAAGCAGTTATAATGATATAAACAGCGCATACTAATTCAAGACTAAGTGAATATTGAGATTATAATCCTATTAGGAGGCAGAATGGTGGTTTAAGAAGTTTTATCCTCATCATCTTCCACAGGAGAAAGTCAACAATAGCTACTGTTGCAGCCTTTCTCAAGCACAGTTCTGCATCTGAATCACAGGATGCAAAATGACTATCTTTTCAGCTCCCCCGAGGAAAGCAGAGGCCCTGTACAAATGGCACAAGGCAAAAGTCAGTTAATTCATTACGTGCATTAGGACTTCATTCTCTCACAGAACCTCTGTTGAGGAAGACAGGGACATAGTTATTTAGAATGCTGATGTTAAAAACAAGAGAAGAGAGAGAACTAAGAAATGACAGAGGTTGTTTCTTGCAGGTGATAATGAGATGTGGATAGGAGCAAGGGGACTTGTTTTTTTCATACTTTGCTATTTTCGTTTTATTTAAAAACTGTGAATTCTGCTGACAAAAATAATAAGTCCCAAATGACAAAAGTACACAAACTCTTAATAGTATTGCATCTGCTAGGCTTTGGTGAGAGTAGATAAGAAGTAAATTTCTTACAGTCCTCATTATTAAATCCAATACAATATAATCTTAATAGGGCATAGCCTTTGAAATCAGATAGGCTGGGTTTGAATTCCAGGATCCACCTCTTCTTACGTTACTAATCGTGGGTTAGTTATTTCCTCATTCTGAGTTTTCCTGCTGTAAAAGGAGGATAAAAACCTTTCTGGCTGTTATTCAGATTACATTATGCAAAGTAACGATGATCACAAGCACAGCTGACATTCTGCCAATGGTTTAACATATTCATTTAATATTCAAAACCACCCTAGCAATATTATCATAAGGAAGGTTACCTAACATACAAATCTGAGCGATGAATCAGACCCACAAAGTGTAACTCTAGAATCCATACTCTTAACACTATCACAACATGAACAATGCCCAAAAGTGTTTGATAAACAGCATGCAGTCTTATGGTTATTGCTAATTAAAAAATAAAATGTATAGATCTTAAAAAAGCAGTAGCTCTACTTGACATTCTTAAACATCAGACTATTTCTAAAAGCCATGACTGAGGAGATGAAACACCCCCCACCCCGTGGGAAATGGGACTAATTTCTTCCATTAATGAGAACACTTCAAGGCAGAAGTACATTCTCTTCCTCTGGGCATGGAAAAGGGGAAAAAAGGGTTTGTTCAAATTGTTGTTTCCCTCGCTTCTGTTTTCTTGTTTCCTCAAGATATGGGACACTAATTGGCTGTGTACTTTTCCCCCCATCCGTCCATACATCTTGTTCCCTAATGCTGCAAAATAGCTAAGATTTCACAAAAAGAAGAGAAACTTGATAGCAGTAACAATATTTCTTGAACTGAATCCATTTTGTCTTGTCAGAAACCAGAGAACTGGGTGCTTGGGATGCCTTAATCTGCTATTGCTGGTACCTTGAGCCTTTATATCCACTGAGATCCTTATCCATATCCAACTCTGGAGTGGAATCAATGATTGCTTGAACTTCTGACTTCTCTTCATTTTCAGCGGAGCCTTAGGAAAAACCAAGATGACATAAACATAAACAATGCATGGATCATCATATAGCTAAGGGCTTTCAATATAGATATTCTATTGCTACTATAGTTGTAAATACATTCGATGATTTTTAAAAAATTTTAAAGAATAAGCTTTCGGAAACACAATATGTCATATATTTCATTAAGAATTAATATTAGAAACTAGTAAGTAGCAATAAAGTTTACATTCATCCTTTTTATTTTTCTTAAATCATTTTATTGGGGGCTCATACAACTCTTATCACAATCCATACATCCATTCATTGTGTCAAGCACATCTGTACATTTGTTACCATCATCATTCTCAAAACATTTGGTTTTTACTTGAGCTCTTGGTATCAGCTCCTCATTTTCTCCCTCCCTCCCTGCTCCCCACCATTCATGCTTCTTAAGGGCACACAGGGCAATATACCCGAGGCCAGGACCCCCTGTTTTTATCCCTTATTGAAAGTATATAGGTCAAACACTAATGCCCTAAAGGTGGCGCAGAGAGAGGGCTTGCCTCCCTGACTTTCAAACTCCAATCTTTTCTGTGCAACATTTTTCTCCCTCTGAAAATTTGCCAGCTTTTTTCTTTTAATGACTGTATACAGAGAAACTCTTGTGAATTTAAATCTTAATTTCAAATAAGTGAACTAATTATAAAACCATTTTTAAATCAGGCAACACTTGCCGAACCCCACAAGATTTCCTCATGCCCATATCCTTTGGTAGTAAAAGTGGACATACGGCCACTTACCAGTTGATACAGTTCTGGTGTCTTGGCCCGCTTGTACTTCAATATGCTTGCTTATCTCAGGCCTAGTTGGTGTATCTGCAGCCCTCACAAACCCTTCACTGTCCTCCTTCAGAGGAGTATCAGTCGGAAGAGTGGCCACATCTGACGCAGCTGTTGATGCTGGAGTGGTAGCTTTAGAACCTTCTTGGCTAACATCAGAAAGTTCATCCTACATGTAAAAATAATTGAGAGATTTTTAAATGGGTAATTTGTTCAAAACCACTTTACAAAGGGGCTAAGAAATAAATTTGTTCAAGGTAAGTTCTGTTATGAATAAGCAGACCAAGTAATAAAGAGCCACTAATTACCAAAGGAACAAAATAAACTATCAGAGTATTTTCAAATTGGGAAGTATATATTTAAATAAATCATATTACCCAGGCACACACAAGATTTTTGTAAGCATGAAATATTGAAAAAGCAGAACGGATGTTAGTGATAAAATCAATATCCATGTCGACCTCAGTTTTAAAGGCGGTTATGCTGTTGCGCAATCATCTGCTAAAAGAGAGACCGCAGAACCCTTAGAGCATGTATTGTCCAGTTGCAGCTTTCCAACCACAGTGGAAAGGTCAAATGCTTCATCTCACCAGAACAGAATCGGTGAAAGTGGTCCTAAAACATACTGCACCCACATCTGCTGATGAACCGTAGGTGGGTTTGCACCTAGTGCACCACACCGAGGCCGGCAGAATCAAGTGCCTCGCAGTGTAACACACTCCTGGGGAGTGGGGAAGGACTGTGATGGGGCTGACAGAGGCAATCGCCTCCAAAGAGCCCTTGTTTTGAATAAAAGTGGTACAATTTTAATTCATCTATCAGCCTGGTAAACTCTTATTTATAGCATTATACATGTGAATCCCCACTCTTTAGAGGTTGAAAGGTTAAGATAAAGCACCGAGGTTCCTGATGACCAGTGTGAATGACCTACACCCATCAAGGCTGCACGTGTGCAAAGTCTCAGACACCATCAAGCTTCTCTCTCCTTACTACAAACACGATCTTTGAACACATTTGAAATACAATTTGAGGTTCTTTTTGCACTTGCCATTTACCTTTCAAATACAAGTCAAGTAGAGAATGCATTTCCTCCTCCTCTTTATCACAACATGCCTCCTCCCCACCAGTCTAGTTATCCGCACTTCAAACAATGTAGGGAAAGTCTGCCTCCTCAAGTTCATCTGTGAACATGGGGGTACGCAGTATAACCAGGAAGGAACGCTTGCTAAACCAGGCCAATGACTGTGGCATGATTCAGGGGCTCAAAGGAAGAGGTGAATTAGGCGCTACTTAGAAGAGAATGTTGAACATTTTAAATCTGTCCGAGGCTAGGCAAACAACATGGGATTTATCTATCTGTAACTTCCTTACTCTGCTTTTTCACATAAAAATATTTTATTCTGTTCAAAATAGCTCACTGTGTGGGCTGTACTCATGACAACTGGATCCAAGGATACAGCCTGAGAGCTGAAGAAAGAAAAGTTCAGCATTTGGGGGGAATATTTTCCTCGGTCTCCCCGGCAATGGTGACATAAAGCATCTAAGATTAGCAGCAGAGTGCTTCAGTAAGAAATCCTTGCTACAATATCCTTATAAATTATACCTCCAATCGAGGAAATGATGAAATTCAGTCACCAACAATAACTCCAAGTGAAGATGAGAGAAAGAGAAACTTAAGTACCAACCTACTAAATGAGAAAATGTGTGACTGTCGCCAGTGATAACCTGATACCACGTCTGAATGAAAGTGGAAGCGTTATCTGAGTTCTCCAATGCAAAGTCTTGGGGGGTTTCATGCCGCTATTTCACACGTAATCAGAGGTGTCAGGAGACCGCGAGTCCCTCTTCTGTACTAGACTACCAAGCACCGGCCAGCACGCCCGAGACGTCACTGCGCTGCAGCCCTAGACGTTATGCTAGCTGCTTCAAACGTCAAGTGCGGGCGCCAAAAACATGGAGACCTTCATGTGGTCAAATTTACTTCTTGTACAATTCCCCCTACTGTCTTCAAGGGGCTGTCTCACTACAGACTGTCCACACAGAGCAGGGACCGCCTCGCGATTGCTGCGCTCTCTCCAGTTACAAAGGAAGGGAGCTCCCGTGCACGTGCTGAGCTGTGCATGGAGCAACACGGTGCCTTACTCTGTGCTTCACTTAGGACGTCGGGTGTGAAAACAAACAGGCTCTTCTTTTTTTTGAAGATTATTTACATGTTCTTTCTTTCTTTTTTTTTCTTTTTTTAACATTTTATTAGGGGCTCATACAACTGTTATCCCAATCCATACACACATCAATTGTGTAAAGCGCATTTGTACATCATTTCTCAAAACATTTTCTCTCTATTTAACCCCCCGAAAACAGGCTCTTCTTTGTGCCATTTCCCTACTAGCTTTAGATCCCAGGCTTGGACATGCGGCTTTAGGTACTGTTCCCTAAAGAGATAAAGCCTGGTAAATTAGTTCCAAATCTACAAGCCTTTCAAAATATTTTCAGTTGTTCCATTCATCAAATGAATCATGTGCTGAGTAAATAAACTCTGTGTTATCTGGCATTTCCCCATAGTTAGTTATTTTTAATAGACTATTAAATATGTAAACATATACATAAAATAAATGATCTCATGAGGGACAACTTGGACGCATTCTACTACACATACTGCTTTCCTAAGGAGCCCGACTGCATCTACTCCTTCATGATTGCTGTCCTTATAAAAAGAAGAAGGTACAGTCTAAAGAAGATAGTGGAAGGATGCCAGGGGAGGCTGCAGCTGCACCTGAGGAGCACCTGATGCTGCCCAAAGTGAAGAGCGTAAGGCAGGGAGCAGATGCTCCCACAAAGCCTGAGAAGCAATGCAGCTGACACCCTCTTCCAGACTCCAAAAGAGAGAGTGGGTTTCCATTCTGATATGCCACCCAGGTTGGCGGTCTCTGCAGCGCTAGGAAACTGCTGCCATCTCAAACAAGCCAGGAATAGGGGCAAGCAAGTCGGAGACATGAAATTGCCTTCTGCCTTCTACAGTGAAAGGTTTTGAGCGTAATGAAAGTAAAAAATACTTCAGTATTTCAGGGTATAACCCTTGCAGTCTTTCAAACACAATACTGACATCATGAGAATGATAGAAGAGGTAACCAATAGTTAATCATTTCCATTAGCTTCTTTCAAATTGTTTCGAAATAACATTCTCAACTCCTGTTGGAGAACTTTTAGAGGTACACAGTACTGTTGCTGACTTGGGAGGAGGAAAAGATGATAAAAAGGAAACAAGTATTTTCTAAGTGTTTACATATTTGCATAACAAATGGAACACAAACCGTAACAGATGAACCAAATTGTACTACAAATAGTACCGCATTAGGACACTGAAGGAATGTGGAAAGAAAACAAGGAGGGTATCCTGAGTAACTCTGGAAAAGGTATTTCCACGAGGTACCCTGAGGCTATAGAAAGGATTGTATGCTGCACTATCATTTCAGAAACAACTGTAAGGATCTACCAGAGTTCACACAGTGGCCAAGCACATGGGTAGATGATAAAGGTGAGGGTTATAATGAACTTCATGACAAAGAATTAGAGTTGGAAGTATATAAAAAACAACAGGAGTTCACACTGACACCTCCAGAGACAGATGAAGAAATAATTACAGAAGTGTGTACCATGCTTTAGTATACATAGTTAAATTGCCCAGCTTAGTCCAGAAAAGGCCTAAAGCAATCACACATTCTGAGCAATAAGCACATCAAGTGATCAGCTCTTGGCTTTCAAATACCATTTTCTAATGAAAGGAACCTGGGCTTTGTGGAGAAGTGGCAGAGAAAAGACCCATAAAAGCATATGGAGACACGTACAGTGTCAGTTAAGCCAGAAAACAGTCACACACACAAAAAGATGTGTGCATATCAACAGGGCAGAGGATCCAACGTGAAAGAGCATTCAATGTCCAAAGGTTGAACAATTTGAGTTTAAAAATATGATTGCATTGAATAACCCACAAAATGAAATAAATATCCATGAATCCAACAGAGAGGAAGGAAGGGAAGGCTGGAGAGACCGGAAAGGAAGAGCCCTTTCTTCCTTACTGAAGCATTCCAATCAAGAAAGGGTGAATTCAACAGAAGATAACCCTTAGAACATCACAGTGATAACTGCAGACAAGAAGCACTAAACTATGCTAAAATCCGCGTGTGAAAACGTGAGGAGAAACAGGAGATGTGTGCTGTCTCAGAGTAGAGCCATCAAAATACTTACTAATTACAAAGGAAAATAGTCATTTTAATGTGAAGAAATCCACCACATACCACTTCAACCAAGTGAGCAAAGTCATTATCAACCACTGTAAGACATGTCAACATTTTTTTAAAATCGTTTCATTGGGGGCTCGTACAATTCTTATCATGTCAACATTATTTTACCCCTGACATGATACACTAAGAAAGCATATCACCGTGAGCACTGTGCTCTTTAAAGATCTATCTGTATGGGATCAAAGGGGTCCTGGTGGTACAGTGGGTAAAGGGTTTGGCTGCAAGGTCAGTGATTCAAACCCACCGGCCACTGCATGGAAGAGAGATGAGGCTGTGTGCTTCCTAAAACCCAAGCAGCAGTTCTACTCTGTAGGACAGGGTCACCAGCAACAGGGTTTATATGAGAACAAGCTGATGTGAGCACCTCAGAAGATCAGATAGACGTCTTAGGGGGCAGTGAGCTAATGTTCACAGAAGACCAACAGTTTGGAAAAGGAAGTGGGAACGGTCGCACAACTCAAACAAATATAATCAGTGTCACTGAATTGCACATGTAGAAACTTGAACTGGTATATATTCTGCTGTGTAGTCTCAGCAACAAAAAATAAAACGACATATAATCTTAAAAAGGAAGACACCACTTCTATTGCGCTCCTGCCACAACCTCATTACCTTCAATCTAGCCAGGGTCAATTCTCCAGACAGACAAGCCCCATGGAGGGGCGTCCTACCAGAGAACTGACCAGAGCTGTTCAGAACTCTCATGAAAGACACTTAGGACTGAGGGTTTTCATACATCAGAAGAGACTGAGGAGACCCCGAATGCAATGTGGGACCCTAGAACGAAAGAGCGGATTAGTGGGAAAGTAGGTGGGAGCTAAAAAAAAGTCTACAGATTGGTTAAGAGTACTCTGCCACTGATAGTAGC